GGCACTGATATTATGAAGGCCCAGAGAGGGACAGTGATTTGCCCAAGGTCACACAGCAAGATAGAAGTTCCTCTGAGGCAGAAACCCAAGTTGGCTAACTCCTGCTTCTTCATTGTTTCTCAAGAATGTGGTTGGTCCCCTCGGTGCAGAGGGAAAGGCAAGCGGGGATATCAGTGGCATGCACACAACACTCCGTGTTCTGGGCATGTTTAAGTTCTTTACATGTGTGTCTTGTTTATTCCCATCACCCCCATTTTACAGGTGAGGTCCCTGAGGCCCAGGGAGGGGAAGGGGCTGTCATCTTGGAGCTTAGGCCTTGTGTGCTTGCAGTCGCAGGGCTGTCTGTGCTCGTGGGAGGATCCAGGGCGTGGAGATCTGGGCTTCCACACCCAGCTGGGGCAGGAGCAGTTACTAAGCTCTGATAAGCCTCTCTCTTTCCACTGAGTTGTTTTTCCAGCCTGGTCTCCTAAGACTTGGCTCCCGTAGGTGCCACACCTGGGTGTCCTGCCCTCCTAGCTTCCACCCTGCTTGTTCAAAGCTGGATTTCAGGGCCAGCCCGGTGGCGCACTTGTTAGTGCGGCACTTGGGAGCGTGGTGGCGCTCCCGCCGAGGGTTCGGATCCCATATAGAGACCGGTCCGCTCGCTGGTTGAGTGCGGTGCGGGCGTGACACCGAGGGTTGCGATCCTGTTGCCGGTCGCGGTGCGGGCGCGACACTGAGGGTTGCAATCCCGTTACAGGTCACGAAAAAAGACAAAAAAAAAAGGGGGGCAAAGCTGGACTTCAGGGGCGGGGCCTAGGTGTCAGGTACACCTGCTAGGAAGGTGAGCTTAGGAGAAATCTGCCTTTGCCGCTGTTTGCCAAGGAGGGGGGCCATGACACCGGCCCTGCCTCGCTCTCTGTTCTCATCTCAGTGCAGGGTTCAGAGAAGGCCATGCTAGACTGCTCCATGCCCTCACCACCTCCCTCCTGTGAGGTGCTCTAGCAGAGCCCACTCTCGTGATCACCCCAAAATTTCATGGACCAAAATCCCCCTGGGATGGAAGTAGCGTTGTTGGATGCCCCTGTTAAATTTGAATTTCAGATAAATGATGAATAAATGTTTAGTCTAAGTCTATCCCAAGCAGTATTTGGGACAGACTTATACTAAAGATTATTTGTTATTTATCTGAAATTCAAATTTAATTGTGCATCTGAGGTTTTTTGTTCATTTGTTTTGGTGTGGGTTTTTGCTTTACTTTGTTGTGTTTTGCTAAGTCTGGCAACTCTAAATGGGCGGCATCATCCCCGTGCAGCATGCATGACACCTGAGACCCAGAGAAATGATGAGGTTTGCACGATTTCACGACAAGGCCCTAACTGCTGTCGGATTCAAAGCCAGGTCTGTTTGAATCCACCGCCTTCTGTGTAGGCGACTGTAAACAACCTTGATGGCTTCATCAGGGCAGAGTGACCCAGAAGTCACTTCCCTAAAAAAAAAAAATCAAACAAACAAAAACAAAAAATAAATCTGTCTTCTCCCTGCATAGTAATATAAATATACGTGGACATATGTTAGCAGTCACAGTTTTAGTGTGAACAGGGACCCTGGCAGGATGGGTGATTGTGCAGTATGGATGATGGGAGAAAATTCCAGAGTTTTAGGTACTGCTAGAGATGGCAAGCTAAGCATGGCCTGGGTTAAGACCTCTTATAATCTGACCTGTCTAGCCTTTCTTCTCTTCCTCACCTCCTACCCATTTACTGATCACTCAGAGCCCTCTGGCTTTCCAGCCTCCTCACCTTTGCTTATGCTGGTCTCTCTTTTCCCTGCCCACCCATCTTCCAAGCCCCATCTTAAACCCAACCACTTTCTTGAGGATGTCCTAGTGCTCCAAGCACTAGGCCCCTCCGTATTTTTGCTTGTTGGTGTGTGCTGGTATTTGCTGGAGGCTTCTTGAGGCCAAAGGTGTTCCCTTCTCCCTCTGGAGTATAGGTGGCCCAGACATGTTTGCCTGGAATGAGGGCAGGGGAGCAGCCCCAAAGCAAACCTTTTGCTTTGCAGTGTTGCTCAGAGCCCTGGGCCGTTCCCAGCCTGCACTCAAGTCCATCAGCCCAGGAGCAGCTAGGTGCGTCCCTGCAGATGGCCTGCGTCCCTGGGTGCAGGGCTGCCTTCCATTGTATTCATGGTCCGGGAGCACCATCCTGAGGGCAGATCCTGTCTGTGGCATTCACCCAGGGATCCCCGTACCTGGAGTGACATGTGGCCCGGGGCAGGTGGCCATAAATACTTGTCGAGTGGATGGAGTCATTCCACAAATATCGCTGAGCACCTGTGATGTGCTGGGCACATGCTGGTCCCAGCACTTGAGGTCCAGCCGTGAATGAGATGGTGGCGCAGATGTCCCACCGGGCCCTGCTCTCAGGGAGCTGTGCTTCCACTTCACACATGGATGGAAACAAGGGAGTCCCCCAGTCAGTGAGGGTTTGCCCAGGCTGTGTAAAGTACTGCCACAGCTGGACAGGAGGTGGGGCTGTTTGGGGTCTCTCGAGGTAATGACTGAGACCTACAGACAGGAGGAAGCTCCCTGTGCTAGGGCCCTGAGGAGGATGATTCTACACCTTCCAGAACGGAAAGAACAGGGTGGCTTGAGGGAGGCCTGGGATAGGCAGCTGATCCTCCAGATAGGACAGGAGTGAGATTGTGTGCTTTGCCTTTCATTGGGGCCCTGGAGCTTCTGCAGGGAGAGGGGACTGGGGTTAAGGAGGAGCTGGAGGGCAGGGAGGTGGCATGGGAGGCCTCCCCTCTTCCTACAGGGGACCCAGCATGGCCTTAGGGGAGGTGCTGCAAGGTGGGGAGTTGACAACACCTTTTCTCAAGGCCCCTGGTGGTGGAGGAGGGTGCCCAGCCTCGGGGCCTCAGCCCTGCTCTGCTTTGGTCTGGCCCCAGGCCCCTGGACCTGGCTTTGTCAGAGGATACTGCCCCCCACCCCCATCCCCACCCCCACCTCCAGAGAGTCAGGAGGGCCTTAGTGCCTTAGAGAATGACAACACCGGCACCATGAGGGGCTACCTCCTGCATCTCATGGGAGCCTCACAAACCCATGAGGGTAAGACCCATTTTACAGATGGGGTGTCTGAGGCCTGGTGGGGGAGGAACATGCTTATCACCACACGCCTGGCTGGGGACCTAGTGATTCCAAAGCTGTGCCCCAGCCACACGTCTTCTGTGACCCTCACAGGCAAGGACCGCACCCCCGGACTCCCACAGGGCACACATCTCTTCTCGGCGGCAGGGACACTGGTTGCTCTCATGCTGCATGTGTCCAGTCTGGCCCAGGCTGCTCTTGTCCCCTCCCCAGCTCCTTCTTTGAGGTGAAACAGGGAAGTGAGGGGGCATGGAAGGGACAGTCGTGGGGGGGGACAGCTTGTGGCCCGGCACAAAGCTGGTTGGTTGTGGTTCCTTCATCTGTTTAATTCAACAGATGCTTATCAAAGGCGGCTGAGCGCCAGGTGCTGTTCTAGGTGCGGGAAAGCACAGGGAACAACACAGACTGACGACCCTGCCCTCGTGGGCCTTACACACAGCCAGGAAACAGACAGATACACGTGGCCTGTTGAATGCTGATGAGGGCTACAGGGAAGGGGCAGGAGGAGGCCAGAGCGCAGGGGACAGGGCAGAGTGTGCTGCGTGTCCGCCATGCGCAGCGGTGGACACAAGCCCTCCAGCCCCACCCACCCCTGGAGCTTCCCTTTGGCTTGGGAAAGAGATGAATAAATAAAGTTGAGGCAGTGTCAGGGCGGTGAGGGAAGGACTGCCTGGGGAGGTGACGTGGAGAGGAGACTTGGGTCACAATGAGGAGGTGGCCGCAGGAAGGACCGGGAAAGGGTGTTCCAGGAGGAGGGCACTGCAGGGCAAAGGCCCTGAAGCTGGAAAGAATTTGGCCTGTCGTGAAGAGAGGGACAGTGTGGCTGGCGGGTGGGAAAGGGGAGAAAGCGACCCTGAGTTGAGGAAGGAGGCGAGGCCAGACCCTCGGGGGCCTGCGTCCAAGGCCGTCAGAACGTCCTGCAGTCGGTCTAATGATGCGCTCTCCTGTACAGCCCCCTGAGGAGGCCTCACCTGCTGCCTCCAGCACCCTGTGGCAGCTCAGCGTTGTAGCTCAGGTGAGCAGGCCTGGGTGTGGGTGTGCTGATCGGACCGCAGGACTGAGATGGCCCACGACACCCCAGTGGGCACGCCTCTCACCGTGGGAGGATGGCCCATCTGGGTACCTCTGCAAGGCATTCCAGAGCCTGAGGGGACACCGTGTCCTCCTGGGCCTCAGCATACAAGGGACTCACTGTATGAAGGATTGGATTTAAGTGCTATTTCTGGTCACCGTTCCTGCAGGACAGCCAGGTGTGAATGATGGAGTTCTGTGCTGCACCAGGCTGAGCTCCTAAAGGTCATTTGTTCTACGAGATGTGTTGAGTGTGTTTTTTTAGGGCTGTTTCCTGCGTGTGAGATCAGGAGCTCAGGCTCTGGATCCAGCCAGGATGTGGTTCACATCCCTGCTCTGCTACCTACTAATTTTATGACTTACTGGATTACTTAATTTTTCTGAGCCCCAATATCCTAATCTGTAAAATGGGGGTTCTGATGGTACTTGCCTAAGAAGGTTTTGGTGGATTTAATGAGATAATGCACATAAAGCTTATTAACTCGGTTTGCTGCCAGCTTGTGGTTATAATGCTGCCTCCTAAGACTCTGGGACGCTGGGATGGATGCTCCCAGTACAGTGACAGCAGCAGTGGCTGGAGTGGGGGTCTCACCATGTGCACGCTGCAGAATGTGGGGGTGTCTTCCTTGCACGACTGGGGTTGGGACTCTTTGGAATAAGGTAGTGGCTTTGGGATGGGGGGAGACTCTTCCCTGTACATGTGTAGGAAAAGCCAAAACCCCTTCAAACTGTCCCCACAAAAATTTAGTAAGCTGTAGCCAGCGTTCCCATCCCTAACTATGTGTCCTTCTCCCCTAGTGCTCCTGCGGGAAGAAGTGTCTCGGCTCCAGGAGGAAGTTCACCTTCTCCGGCAGATGAAGGAGATGCTGGCGAAGGATCTGGAGGAGTCGCAGGGCGGCAAGTCCTCTGAGGTCCTCTCAGCCACCGAGCTCAGGGTCCAGCTGGCCCAGAAGGAACAGGAGCTAGCCAGAGCCAAAGAAGCCTTGCAGGGTGAGTGGTGACACGGCCGCCCTTCTCTCCCCTGGGGCTTGGACCCAGGCCCTAGGGCTCCAGGAAGCCAGAGTCCCTCCTTCTGCAGGGAGAGTGGCGTGGACATGCGCGTCTCTCAGCACCCACCCCTAGCTGAGGTCACCTTGTCCCTTCTTTGGGTGGAATTCTGCATCTTGCGGGGTTGGGTGCAGATCTCATTCCCTCCTCCAGTGTGGCTACCGCATGTCGCCCATCACGGCTGGCCCTGCGGCACTCCCTCCAAGGTGTGGATGGCAGGTGGGCATCTTTCTGGACCAGAATGCTGACTCAGCAGCTGAGTCTTGCTTTCCCAGCATTCTTGGGGTCCTTTGGTGTCTCCCATCATGCGACAGTGTGGATTGTGCTGGTTTCTGTGCTGGAGGACACGGCTGTGTCCCGTGCCTCACTCTTGCTCACCGTGGTGGGCTCTCCCAGGAAGGGCTTGGGCCTTTTCTCACATTGCTTGGTTCAGTGGAGCTTCCGTCTCAGACATGCAGCATCCAGCCCTGGGCCCGGGGGCAGGAGGTAGAAGATGATGTGATGCAGGTGTCCAGATGGTCTCTTGACAAGATGGACCATGGACCCATAACTACCGTGTGGCCAGTGTGTCTTCAGACAGAAATTGCTTTGGGAAAGGAGGGAACTAATGGGCCATGTGTTCAGCCTGGTTTTCCTGGAACCCGCTCAAGACCCCAGCATCTGCCCACACTCTGTGCAGTTGGGGAAAGGTTATTTGAGAAAGGCTGGTGGGTATCATCTAACCTGTCAACTGGCTCCACAGTGCATGGAGAACTCAGGCATGGAGCATTTGGGGATAAGACAGCATTTGGAGTCTGCATCGATCCTCTTGCACCCCCTTAGTGTCTTTGCTTCTCCTGAAAATAAATAAAAAGACTTAAAACTTTGTAACCTGCTTTCCACTTACTATTTACTAGAACAATGAGTACTCTTTAAAAATCCCATTTGTTGGGCTGGCCGGGTAGCTCGTTGGTTACAGTGTGGTGCTGATAACACGAAGATCCAGGGTTCTACCCCTGTACCAAAATTATTTAAAAAATAAAATTTTATTTCTGAAGCCAAAGCAGGTTTATTAGGTTGATACCATACTACTATAACAAACAGACCCCAAAACAGAGTGGCCTAAAGAATCTGTTTCTCCTTTATCCCCTGGTGAGCATTTCACGCTGGTGGGCATCTGCGATCCTGGGTCTGCAAGGGACCTAAGGAAAGAGCCCAAATCGACAGCCAGAGATTTCCCTTGGTTATATGGCCAGGCCCAGCTGCAGGGGGTGCTGGGAAATGTAATTTCTATCCAGGTGGCCGTGTTCCAGCCATGGTTCTTTAACAGGGTGTGGAGGGGAGAGTAGATTTTGTTGGGCAGTAGTTGGCTCAGTCAGAGCAGGTCTTCCTGGCCACAGGTGTGATGTGGGCAGCAGGCTGAGAGGTTGTGCAGTGCCCAACCCGCCGTCCTCCTGGAAGCTGGGAAATCGTCATTAGCCTGTACATAGAGTATTGCCACACTCTTTATAGGAGTTCTTCTCAGCAATACATGTTCCTCTCAAAGGCAGGTGGACAGCCCTCTTCTGTTGAGGTTTTGTTTCCAGTGGGGCCGCTGAGACTGTGTTCTGGGTGGTCTTTTCCAGCTGTAGTGGACCTCGGTGTGTACGGTGGCCCAGCTGACAGTGCATGCTTGGGAAGTCGTTTTGCCAGTGGTGCACGTTCTCTGTAGGCATCCATCCAGCAGTATATGCAGATCTCTGGGAGCCTCCCTCCACGCTCAGCTTCCCTGGGCCTCATAACATCCTTTCCCCTTCTCAGGATGGAGACCCAAGTCTCGGAATCTCCCATGAGAAAGTGCTGCTGGGCCCAGGCTATGCGAGCTGGTGTCCCTCAGTCTTGCTAAGCTTTAAGCTCCTGTGGAGGTTCGGGAACAGCCCAAGGAGCAGCCAAATACTATCTCAACCACCTTTCCTGGTATGAAGTCCAGGGACAGAGAAACCTCTCTCAGCTGTTCCTGGACCCAGAGGAATGGGCAGAGGAGTGAGCAGAGACTCGTTTTCCCCAGCACTCCCCCAGATGCTTGGACACACAACCTAGCCTCCCCAAACCTCAGTTTCCTGATCTGAGTGATGGGACGGTAATGGTGGCTTCACAAGAGGTTGTGAGAATTAAACGAGGTAATGTCTGCAAAGCAGATAGCATAGTTCCTGCTATTATAATGTGCACCCTTCTCCCTTTAACCCATGAGGCACAGAGCTATACAGGCATTTCTCTCTAACTTTCTAACTCTGTGCCATAAGATTTTTATCCATCACCAGAGGTATTCAGCATTGCCCAGGAACCCAGAGATCCACCTGATGGGGCGGCTCTTTGTAGGATTAATGACATACGCATCAAGGACTTGCGAGTATTCCTTAAAGGAAAGTTTTACTGAGCTCCTATTCTGTGCTGGACTCTTCTGAGCATGTTATCTGTCATTCACCCCAATCCTGCTGGGAGCTATTAACCCCCTTTCACAGATGGAAACAACTGAATGAGGTTCAGGGAGGTTAAGTAACTTGGCCAAGGTTACAGAGCTTATTAGCAGCAGAGGCAGAGACTTTTCTGCTGCACCAACACACCTCATTGTCCTCTGGATGCGGTCACTGGGAATGAAGTTGGCTTGGATGCAGGAGGCTGTTGTAGCTCAGAATTGGGGACAGCAGTTTTTGGAGTCAGATCTGACCTTAAATCCTAGATCTACCGCTTATTGGCTATGTGACCTTGGATACACTTCTTAACCTCTCTGAACCATGGTTCCTTTGCTGAGGGTAATAATAATTCTTGGGGCTATTAGTAGCGACTTTATAGGGTTATTGTGATGATTAAATGAGATATAAAGTGCTTGGCTCAGTGCCTGGTACCAGTCTGTTGACTTCCTCAGGCCTCCTTAGTTTCATGATTTCTCCAAGAATCAAGACATCACAGAAATGATGATAACGAAAATTTGTTTCTTTCTTTTTTTAATCTCTTAACAGCATGTCAAGTGTGTTGAACATTTTCACACAACAATAAATACTCCTTGAAAACATAATTTTTAATGACCACATAATCTTCTACCAAATGGAGGTACAATAATTTATTTAGCCATTTTCCTGTTATTGGACATTTAAATTGTTTTCATTTCTCTCTCTCTCTCTCTCTCTCTCTCTCTCTCTCTCTCTCTCTCTCTCTCTCTCTCTCCCCTTCTCTCTCTCTCTCTCTCTTTGCCATTATATAACACTACAATAAAGATCTGCATATGTAAATCTATTTATTTTCTGAGAATAGCATTTCTCAAGCTTTTTGGTCTCAAGACCACTTTACACCTTTACAGAGTTCAGGACCCCAGAGCTCTTGTTTGTATGGTTTAGATCTATTGGCATTTACCACTTTAGAAATTAAAACTGGAAAAAAAATGTCTAAATCTTTAACAATTTATTTTTTAAATAATAATAATGAACTCACTATATGCTAACATAAATAAAATTATTTTTTAATGAAAAGTAACTATATCTTCCCAGACAAAA